ACCTCTTGAAGGCTTTTTGGAAGCCATGATGGATGTCTCTGCCACGGTCTAGTGCAAGTAACCCAACCAAACACCACAGCATCATTTTAACATGATGAATCTCGGTGGCTCCCAGCCATCCCCTTTACCTTTTAACTTTTAGATCTTTTTTGGTGGGTTGAGCCCAGAAAACAACATCCATGTCCCCAAGGCAATACTTGAGGGCCGCATGATTTCAGGGTTCTCCGTCGTGGCTCTGGAGGTTTTCCGGCTGATGGGCCGCATGATTCAGGCCATCAGGGCGACCTTCCCCAGGTCCTCTCTGGTCTTTTTTTTTCCGGTTCCAATGGCAAAGGTGCAGAGTTTTTTTTTCAAGAGCCTCCTTTGGGAAACCGTCCACCCCGAAACAACTTTTCTGTGGAGAGGAGGGCACAACAGGAAGCAGTTTGTCTCGGCTAGGTTCCCTCGCGCCAGGTAGCCATCAGTGCAAGGTGCGGGTTGGGCCAAAGGGGCGTGCTCCGTGGTGGCCGTCAAGAAGCACGAGCATTGACAAGTCCATAGTCCAATGCAGCCAACGAGTCACTTGGTTGCTGGGCCGTTTCATGTGAAGCATCCTTTGCACATGGGCGTCGGGCGTCGTTTCGCACCTGCAATCTAGGAAGCAATGAGCTCAGTTGACACTTACAAGGCCAATAGTAGGCGACTGCATGTTCAACATGATTAGCCCCCATTTTGGACTTGGAGTTGGGAGTTTCCCATACCCCTTCACACAGTCCCCCTCAAAGAATGTATTTGGCGGAAGGCGGTTGGAATTCCCTTCGTTCCATTCGGAAGGCGGGGAATGCTCGCCCATTCGTCTATGGGTACCTTCCATTTCCCTTCTTTCCGGGGATCCGATTCTTTTCAGGAAGCCATCCAACACCCAGGTTGGCAACAGATCCGGTTTTTCAACTCCCTGAAACAGGTCTGGATGTCCCGTGAGGCCCCAGCTCGCAGGGCCTTCCAGAAAGCCATGGCCTGCCCCCTGGCCATCCCCACCCCCCACCCCCCCCGCAGCGGACGGCACGTGCGGGTCATGACTTGGGACTGATTTGGAGACGTTCCGGAGCTGGAAATCTTCGGCCAGCAAGTCGGAGGAGCAAATCGGAAGGATGCGGTCCGTTGTGCATCGGAGGTGTGATTCACTTTGGGGAATCCTGGATTTCCAAAAGATGGAGCGGGGTCCAGATTTTTAACGAGATGTCCGGCTCGGAAATGCTCGGGCGGAGCGCCAGGATTCGAATCCTGGCCCCGCCAAAGGAACCGGTCCGGGGCGGACGGGTGGCAACAGAGGGGTCCTGGAGCTCATGTTGAGGTCTTTGATTGAATCCCTTGCCTCCTGACGAGGTGAAAGGGGCCATCCACGTTGAGGTCTTGATTGGATGAATTGAGGCGGAACCTCAACGATCTCGCTCAAGCAGAACCACCCTAAAGACGGACCCCCCAGTTTGGGTTCCCCGTGTGTTTATGCCCTGCAGCTCGCAGCCGCTTGGCGCAGGGCACCGGGTTTGTAGGTGAGAAGTTCAACACGTCGATTGAACTAGAAGCCCAGCCCCGTATTTTTTTGGGCGTCTAGGTTGGAGATGGCTAGGAGGAGTAATATACTCGTCCCAGTATTAGGGGGGTGTTCCCTCCAACAGTGGTCAAAATCAACCAGGGGTTTAGTAATCCGACGGATGGGTCAGAGATGGCCGTCATGATGTTCATCGTCGAGGTTTCCTTGGCATGACTCTTGCCAACGGGGAAGGCGTACAGGTGCCGACAAGAGTAGGTCAAATACACTGGGCTCCTTTTGGAATACCAACTCGTTGAACCACAAAGCCAGCCTTTAGGCATTTTGCTCTCTTTCGGCAGGCAGTAAGTGGCATGTGCTGTTTGTGCTGCCCATTGTCTTTCTTCGGCGTGCCGCGTTGCCGCACCGCTCTATGCGCAGGCGGGCCGGGCAATATCTCACCTGTCTCACCTGTCTCACCTGTGTCATCGGTTGCAGAGATTGCACCGAAAGCCTGGCAGTAGAATGAGCGGAGGGAACATTTTGCCTGTTTTGGCTGCGGCAAGCAATCAACGACCGCTGAATCTTAGAGCAGTCGCTCAGCTCGGATTGCAGATGGATGCAAGTTGTGTTCTTCAACCGGTCCAAGTATTCTGCTCGTCCCCTGACAGGGCCGGGCGCCAACAGTCAGCGGTTTTCTCCTTCCATAAGTTGGGCCAGCCAAGAATACAGTAGAGCGATGAGGTTTTGCTACAGGATCTTTTGCCGGAGAGTGGTTTCACCTGCCGCATGTCTTGGAGAGGCGGGGCAGCCTCAAATCGGCAGCGCGCGGGGCTGATTGATGAGATTCAGCGACCAAACATCCGAGAACTGAATATGTATGATCAGAATGATTTCGCTGTGAGTGAAACGAGATGGTCCCCCCCGCATTGACTCGATCAACATGATAGTGATTGTGCGTCCAGCTCACTTTGGGGTGCACAAGTAGCAGCAATCCAATACGACTCCAGAACAACCACAAAACGAGTCCGGAAGTTGCGATTTCCAAGCTGGAGCAGGCAAAGTGCACTTCGCACACTAGCTGTGCTCAAAGTTGGTGCTTTCTGAGCTGGAGCTGCCAAAGTGTGGTTGGCTTGAAATTCAAAAAAAAAAACGCCGCAAAACGAGATGGGTCTCCTTTGTTTTGCTTTGATCTTGTTCTGAAGCGAGGTAAGGCTAGTCCAAAACTTCAATCAAGACAAGAGAGTGGTGCCTTGTGGATTGCAAGGTGGTTAACCGGTCAGCTGTTGTTCTTCCCAGGGTCGGCATTCAAGGGTAACTGGGTTTCCAACCCCATTACACCACCAAACCACCGATTCCACCCTTTTTGAAACTGTCGCTGAGACATGGAACCAGTTCCAGGTTTCTTTTGGATGCTCTCCGGGGGGTAAAACCAGTCGCCAGATTCCAACTGGTATTAAGTTTCCGCTGGTGGCGCCGCGCCCCATCTATTTTCCCAAAAGGACATGTGCGCCCGAACTTAGTACTGTGGATGGCTGCGAAATCCAATACCGCACCACGAAATGAACCCATGGTTGCATCCATTGGTTGTTGGTATTTACAGGGAAGTCATCATTCCAGGGCTTCTTAGGTGGTACAGGATTTCGTCCATCCATAGTACTTCTTGTGATTTTAGTAGGCGTCTCCTACTCTTTAGTGGGTCAATGGGACCTCCAGGTTTTTTCAGGAGGAAGCCCTTCCTCCTAAACGGGGCGGGTTTGTGCAACAAAACGGCCGGAATTTGACGCGCGCTGCCGGCTGTCACCACGAAAGCCTGCGGGCTTGGTGTAAACTGGGAGCTTGCGAAAGCACACAAGGGTCTTAAACATGGAATTGGGGGAGAGGGGCCCTGGAATTCCTTCGGGGAGGGAGGCGGGGGTGGGAGGGGGTTACACCTGGAATTCGTTTTGTGGTTCCTTTAATTACTTTGTTTTAAATAACTGGGGAAGACTAATGGAATTTGGGGACCCCTACCCCTCTCCCCCTGATGGTCGGGGGATCCCTGCCTCCCTTGCCATGGCACCTGACAATGGGGCCCTTCAAGAGGACATTGATCTTTTCACGGGTGCCTTCTGTTAGTGGGAGGGAGGGTAGTAATCCTGGTTCTAATGCTGTGGGATTTCTGATCGGGGAATAAGCCAGATTTCCGCTGTCCCCACTCACTTCGCTTGCATCCGGCTGAGGCTTTTGGGCCAGTTTTTGTTCAGGACCTCTGGGACAGCAATAGGCAGAGAGATATTTTCGCATGCCCAAGTTTTGCCCACAGATGCGCAAGTGATGGCCGAAACTTATCAAGTGCTTTGCGAGTTGCTGGGGGGATGGTAATGATAGAGTTATATGGTGGCCATGTGGCCGTGAGTAGCCTGGTGGGTGAGCTGTGAAAAAAGGAGGTTTGACATCTACGCAGCGTTGCGAAATCTCCGAAATCCTACATGCCACCTCGTGAATGTCTCAGGAGCTGTCCTGCAGTGCTCGCCCTCCTATCCTTTGCTTGTGTTTGGGGCAGTTTGGGGCATTTTGAGGGATGTCCGGCAAATATATGCGTCTTTTTTAGCTTCCGGCTCATTGCCGTCGGGGCCTTCGCGTTGTTCTGCTGAAGTGATGGGAACCTAGGCCTGTCCTCTGTTTTTGGTGGTGTTGGAACACCACCCGCACCAATCCACCAGGTTTCTGCGGGACAATCGGGCGGAGAAGCGGGCGGCTCCCAATTTGCCAGCCCTGGCGTTGTAAATGAGAACCGAAGCCGCGCGCGCAAGGACCTGAGTCGGAAAAGTCCGCCTTTGGGGCAGTGGGTTCTGGGGTCAGGGCCATACCCCCGAGTCGCCCAACGCAGACGAGCTGCAAGTCCTTTCAGGGAGTTCCAAACAACGACCCCGCATTCTGTTCGTTTTTCCGGCATTTCCGGTTTAGGCCTTTGCGTTTTCTGAGCCCTTGGGAAGCCATGAGCCAGTTTCTTCTCGGTTGCAATGGACAAAGTTGCAAACTCCCAGCCCTCTAAGCCGTCGATTTGCACGGCTTGCGCGGCGAATCATCCTTGCGCCTTCTGACTCTCCAACCAAACGGTAGTAGCAAGTTGAAGGAGAGTCGCTTGCCATCAGCGCGCCGGCTCCCCTCCGTCGAATTTCAGCACAGTTGCATCTTGATTTTCCCGACTTGCCCCAGACCGGCCACAATTGGAGAAGTATATTTGGACGCGGGTCAAAAACAGGTACCCAAAATGGAACCCTGGCAAATGGAAACAAAGACTCAAACCTGCGCTCCCCTGGTGATTTATTTTTAACCCGCACCCATTCTTGAAGAGGCAGAGTACTTAGTAAGTGGTTAGTAACCATGGTTATAACCCACTTACCATGGTTATAAGTCTCCTCAGTGGGTTATAACCATGGCTACTACCCACTTACGTACCCTGCCCCTTTAAGTTTGTCCTATACGTTCCCCATGTTTTCAGCCATTTCCTCTACCCACTCAACGTCCAACCAGCCACCGACGGCCCGCGCCATGCCGCACGCGCGCCGGCGATGCACTTCTTCGACGCCGAGGCGCGGCGCGACGCTGCGCAGCTGCGGAGGGCGTATCTGCGCTTGGCCCTGCAGTACCACCCGGACAAGGCCGTGGATCGTTGCTGGCAGTTGGCGGGATGGGAATGAAAACAACAAATGTGTTGTTTGGCGCCCGAAAAAGAGGCGGCGCCAAGGTATTTACGGGATAGACAAGGGCTAAAAGGGAGAAGTGCTGCAACTATGACGAGCTCACCGACGGACGCAGGGGGGGTAAAGCAACTCAGGTTCCATGAAGAGCCCTTAGGAGGGATGCCGCCCAGATGGTTGTGGAATGTTTGGTTTTATTTTGCAATTTTGGTTGCTCAAGTACCATGGGTCAATCCCCCAAGCCATACAACCCACAGAAACCATTTGCTTTGGACAACTCGAAGGCTGAATGTGTGCACTGATGCCCTGCTGCCTGCCGACTGACATGCCCAATCGGCATGCAAGTCGCCTAATGAAAATGGCCCCCCCAAAAGTGTTGGGTCCCATGCCCCCCTTCAAACCATGGTACCCATTTCTTGCTGCCGCTAGGTTTTGGGGGGAAAGAGGGAACGACCCGGAAAAAAAGAAAAAGGCAAAAACCACCTAGGTTCATTCCCAAATTTGGGCTCATGCCCTGAGCACCAGCAAGTTTTAAAGGGAAACTTGAGGCGTACCCCTCCTTTGGAGGCACGCCCGCGTATGACCCCATAGTATGTTCCTACTGAAATGGATAAAATCAGGGCTCAATGATGAGGAAACCAGTCACCAGAGAGCCCCAACCTGGCGCTGGGGCCATGAATGGGTGCATGCAACAATTGAAATTGTTTGCGCTGGCCGTCGTGCGCAGAATCATCTTGTTTTGGGGGCCGGGTGGCCAGGGACTTCCAAGAAGACTAAGAAACCTAAGGGTCGCACTTCGAAATCCCAAGGTAACCGCCGCGCACAAGCACAAAGCTCAGACATTATTATCACATGGTGCAGAACGGTTCAGCAGCTTGCAACAGTGTTTACACTGACATGTTCTTCCTCGATTTGTGGTTTGGGAATTCGAACCCCCGGCTTTGGTAGAGGGTACATGGGAAACTTCTCCTTGGTAGAGGTATGAACAAACCTGGTAATTTGGAGGGACGCTGATTTGATGGTCCAAGGCATCATTCCGGCTTCATTATCTTTGGCGCTAAAATCATCAGACTCCGACTTTTCCTCAAGGCCGAGGCATTGCCCATGAATTCCAGCCCGCTTTGGAGGTTGGGGGCCAACTTACTTCCATTTGCTTAAGACTATGTTGTGTTTTCCCTGGTTGGTTTCAAGGGAATCACTACCTGGACATATGTTTTTCGTTTTTCCAAGCGGCCCAAGCAAATGGCGGCCTAGGGGTTGGTTTTGGTGTCAGCGCCCCAGGTCTGCGCCGGTTCGCCTGATGCAGGACAGCTCGGAGCTCACCTGGCACACGGATCAGTTTTCGATTGAGGGCGTTTTCGTAGGTTCAAATCAACCTCAAACAGGAATCTTGAACCAAGAGCCATATCTATGTTCGGTTTTGGCGTTTTGTGTTTTTTTGCCGGGTGCCAACAATGGAACAGGTTACAGTAAGGCCAATGTGAAGCTTTGTAACCATGGGCGCGTGAAGCGCCCAACTGCGCGCTCGCCAGGATCTGCCACGCGGACCTTCCAAGAGATCCAGGGGGCTTACGAGGAGCTCGCAGCGGCCTTGGAAGGGAAAGCAGGAGCCAGTCGGCAGTCGGCCGCCGTACAAATCAGACGTGCGAAGTAGCCACTTGGAGTCCTCAAAATTGGAAGCTAATAGATTGACAGCTCTACATTTTTCCCAAAGCTTCTCTGTGCCCAAAGCCTCCATTTGGCACTCAAGGAAAGAGTATCGCTACCACCAGCTATTCAAGAGTCATGGGAGCGGATTTGTTCTTTCCGTCAGCTTCCAGTTCCAACAGAGGGTATCATAGAGTTGTTTACTCTTCAACAGAACCAAGCATCACCTCACCCCACCAGCCTGGCTCGGTGTTCTCCCCCCCCCCTGCCGTCGGGAGGGGAAGGGTCGGTTTTTACAAAGACCATGTTTAGCCAAGGCGCCAAAAGGTGAAGAGCCAACTGCCGCACCAATGTGCTGTTTGCCCTCACAACGAACACAGCCCTGCCCGCTTGTGGTTTTCGGCGTGGCCTACTAGCAGTTGTGGTTGTCCATTGGTTTCCCTCCAAGCTGAAAAAGGGTACCCAAAAGAAACCTTGAGAAAACACCAAACAAACGCACAAACAAAGAAGCAACACACACACAAACACACAAACACACGAGCACACAAACACACACACGCACACACAAACACACACACACACACACAAACACACACACACACACAAACACACAAACACACAAACACACAAACACACACACAAACACACAACCACACAAACACGCAACCACACAACCACACAACCACACAAACACACAAACACAGAAGCACAGAAACACAGAAACACAGAAACACAGACACACAGACACACAGACACACAGAAATACAGAAACACACACACACACAAACACACACACACACAAACACACACACACAAACACACACACACACAAACACACACACGCACAAACACAAACACACAAACACACAAACACACAACCACGCAAACACACAAACACACAAACACACAAACACACAAACACACAAACACACAAACACACAAACACACAAACACACAAACACACAAACACACAAACACACACACACACACACACACACACACACACACACACACACACACACACACACACACACACACACACACACACACACACACACACACACACACACACACACACACACACACAACACACACACACACACACACAACACACACACACACACACAACACACACACACACACACACACAACACAGACACAGACACAGACACAGACACAGACACAGACACAGACACAGACACAGACACAGACACAGACACAGACACAGACACAGACACAGACACAGACACAGACACAGACACAGACACAGACACAGACACAGACACAGACACAGACACAGACACAGACACACACACACACACAATCACACAGACAATCACACAGACAATCACACAGACAATCACACAGACAATCACACAGACAAACACACACAACACACAAACACACACGAACACACATAAACACACATCAACACACATAAGCGCACACAAGACACACAAACACACACAGCACACAAACACACAACACACAAACACACACACACACAATCACATGAACACACACAAACACACACAGACATACATAAACACACATAAACATACATAAACATACATAAACACACACATAAACATACATAAACATACATAAACACACATAACCATGGATAAACATACATAAACACACATAAACATACATAAGCATACACACATGTACCCTTCTCCCGGAAGCGTTCTCCGCGCGGCGCCGGAGGAAAGGGGCCACGGGTACGGTCTGCCTTTGCGGCCGCCTGTGAGCTCGGGGACCTTCAGGCGGTGTCGGTCCCTACTGTGGATGGACGAAATCCTGCACCACTTTGAAACCATGGGCAAACCATTGTTCGTTGGTATGCAATGGGGAACCATCATTCCACGGTTTCTTAGGTGGTGCGAAATGGATTTCGTCCATCCACAATACGTTGCAAGTAAACCGCACGACCCGCCGCCATGGAACATCTTGGAGGCTCCCAGCCATCCGGTTCCTTAGCTTGTTAGCCTTTTAGGGTTTGGTGGGGATTTCAACCCACCAAAAGTGAAACTTTTAGCAGGGGATCTGAGGGCAGCCCAGTCTTGATAAATTAGGAGGTTCAGACCCCAAAGCACGGGTACAATATGGTTCAGACATGGTTCAGACTGAAAACTACGGCAAATTATGGTAAATTAAGGGTTCCCGTACGGAAAGGGTGAGTGGCGACTCCAACACCACATACCGAACGACATGCCCTGGAAATGAAACACGAGATTGCCCTCCCAACATCATCCTATCCAAAATGGGCTTCGTATTCCAACAGGGTGTTGCACACTTCCATGTTAGCTGGGGTTCGGGCGCGGTTGGGGATGTGTGTTTTGGATGTGGCTGGAAAGTGGGTCTGTTTTGAGGTGTTCCTGATTTAATTTGAAGTCGGGTGAATTTGTGGTTCACAATTCCTTGTTCAAGGTCCTTTCAAAGGGAAGTTCATGAAAGAACCCTGTTTAACAGAGGAACAAACACGCTCAAGAAACAACGAGAGCAGCAACCGAAGCCCAAGCGTTATTTTTTTAGCGAGTTTTAAACCCACCAAAAACGCACACAGAGCTCCCTCACGGCCCGGTGGCTCCGACTCCGACCCCTTCTGATCCGATGCTCCTGACACTGCATATGGGGCAAAACAATGCCATGCTTTAGCGCCAGAGACCGCATAGCTTTCAGCTGCAATGTTGGCCCCATATTAATCCACCCCATTTTATGAATCGGGGGGTGTCCAACTGGGTTTAGTGGTTGGAATCAGACCACTTTTGGAGTGTTCCCCTCCACCCCCCCTATTAATCAACTGCTTGGTTCGTTGTTGTATGGTCAACCTTAGGGGGGGAAAATTCCTTGGAAAAAGTCCGGAGGGCCCCTTGACACTTGACACATTCCCACAGCACTTAAACGGGCAGGATACTGAAGTGGTTAGTGAGCCTGGTGTTTTTTTTCTATGGGAACTATATCAGTGGCAACCTTTTTCGTGGCTGAGTCAAGAATTCGTGGACGCAACGGCAGAGAGAGAGAACCACTTACCTGACGTACCGAATCCATCGCCCCGTGAAGCGCCAAGCGCCGAACTCGTCGGAGGCGGTGAAAGCCATGCTGCGGCGGCGCCCGGCGGTCGCCTGGGAGCCCGACGAGCTGGGGGTGACGCCTCTGATGTTCGCGGCCGCCGGTGGGGGGGAGAGGGGTTGGGGGCAGTTTGGGGGAAGGGGGGGGGGGAGGGTGGGGTGAGCAATGGCGGGGTTGGGAAGGACTTTCAGGGGTTTTGCATGGTTTAGGATGGTTTTGTGGTTGTGCACCGGCTGTGTTTAGGATGCTTCTGGATGGTTTGGGATGGTTTGGGATGGTTTAGGATGGTTATAAACTGGGTTCTATGAAAAAGGTTGTTTTTTCCTTCCGACTCTCCAAAAGTGGTCTGAATCCACAAAAGGGGACGCTTTCCGATGAGAATCAAGCAGGGGCTCGACGTAGATCCGGGGTCAGCGAAAAAAGTACACCTCTAAGACATGAATAATCGCCGCCTAACTTCATCACAACTTATGTTGTTCACCCCCTGTCTTATTTCGGGAGGCCTTTTTTTGTTGAGGAGATTCATTCGGAGGAAACGGAAGCCCTGATGTTTTGCTGGCAATCGCCGCACATGTTGCGCCCCCGCCTCTGGTAGATAGTTCTGGGTGGATGCGAAAAGAATGGTAGCCTCCCGGGGAAGATGGGGCTTCGTGGGTGTTTGTGTTGTGTTTGGAAGGGTGGTTATAGATGCTTGCTGCGATTTGCACCAGCCCTTCCCGTGGCAACCTGGCAATGGAACCACCTTTTTCTGGTGGCCAGGGGTGCACGGGAGCTTCGGACGCCCTGTTCTGCGGGGAATGCCGCTTTCTGTGAGAGGCGGCGCCATCGAAGTGTGTGAGGCGCTGCTGTCTGCCCAGGCAGGATGGAGGAAATCCCGGGGGAGGGAGGACCTAGGTCCCCCTTTCTCAAGGTTTCTTTTTTGGCGGGAGGGTTCCGCTACTAAGATAGACTGCATTAAGGGGGGGTGCCCTTATTCTAACATCTCAAATCTGGAGGACCTAGAGGAAATCCGTTTCGAATCACCGTGCGGAAACCCTGGCAGTCGACTCCCAAGACAAAGGCCCTGGAACTGCACACTCTGCAGTCAGGCGGCTGATACGCCAGCCGTGAACTTCAGGGTGGTTTTGTTTGGCGTGCTACAATCTGAGGGTTTTTGTATTACACCCTGGCATTACACCCTTGGGAAATAACCCGGAATGGTTCAAAATAACACGGTTTTATCCGGAAATGTGCCTAAATGGGGTCAATACCCAGTGGGTGTATTCGCAGGGTGTAATACAAAAACCCTGCGATACAATGCTCCACCCCAAAACGAGTTGCTATCTTTCTATCAGGTTCCCCAGGCAATGGGAAGATCTAAGATCCCCTGCTTTGTCACATCATCGACATTTGCTTGACTGCCATTGGGTAACGGATCTTTAGACTTTAACTTTTTGGAAAATCAAGGGGTTTTCCACTAAATTCCCAAAAAGTTGAACTTTTTGCAGGAGGGTCAACGTTACATCATCTGGGATTCTCCTTGCCCTAAACGGAATCGAACTGGGCGTCGACTTCAGGAATGGGGAGGCGCTGTGGATGGAAATCCGCGAAACGCACGAAATGAAACCAAGGTGGAAGCCACAACGCCTGTTGCTATGGAGGTTTGGGAATTTGACTCAGAAACTAGGGTTTCTGAACGGTGGTGCGTTGCATGGATTTCGTCCATCCAAAGTCAGAAGGGGTCCCCGCACAAGGAGCTTCCTCTACAAAGCTTTTGTTGGCGTGGTCTTAAAGGTAGTTAGGATTCCCCGCTGCCTAGTTTAAAAGCTAGGCGCATCCGCAACTAGCTGGTGAGTGCTTCGCAGTTCCAGGGTTTGGGGGTTGCTATCCGTTGTTTGCAGTGGTTTCTGCATCGGCCACGCCTTTTTCTGTTGCCAAGCTCAGCATTTGAATGCTGGGCACATCAAAATATGGGCCATGCTTTGAGGAGCTGTTCAAGCAAGCTGTTGAACCACACACTTCGAACAATTATTTGTGCAGGTTTTTTGGGAAGTGTCTGGCCATGGACTTGGTTTTGCCAACCATGTCAGAGAGTGCATCTCAAAGAACCTCCGTTTGGTGTCGGAATTGCAGGATTGTCTTGCGGTTTTGGGATTGTCTTGGTATTCTGCTTGGCTTTTGCTCCCTGGGACCTTGGTTTCACCATCCGCAGGTGACCAGCGGGTCTTAGGAATTGCGCCAGCCCCAATTCCTTGGCCTGGGGGTTTCTTTCTACGAAAGGGACAGCTGGATATGGGGGCTATGGAACCCCTTGTGGCCCTTAGAGCCATGGCTTCAAAGTACTGCTACCCTCGGAAAGTGGCTTGGAACAGCAATCTCACGAAGCCCAAAAGGCATCCTTAAGCCCAGCTTGACCACACCCTCCCAATCTAAGCAAACTAAAGCACTAAACCTACCCCAAACCAGCCCTGAAAAGCCCTAAACTTTGAAAGCCCTTAAGCAATTATACCGTGGATGGATGAGATCCTACCCTCAGAAACCCTGGTTTATGATTCGATTCCCCAACGCAAATACCGCAACAAACGTTATGGTTTCATCAAACCCAGTTTCATTTCGTGCGGTTTGCGGATTTCGCAACCATCACGGGATGGATTGCACAAGCCCCTACAGCTATCTTTTGCTTAAATCTGTACTTAGTGGTTAGTAACCATGGTCATAATGCACAAAAGCCATGGTGAAATAAGTCTCCGTTCAGTGGGCTGTTCACCAGGCTTACTCTCGTGCCGACTAACATGGAAGCCCAGACCCCTGTAGAAACACGACTTTCCTCTTGGAAAGGGACAGGGGAATCGATTCATTCCAGGGCTTCTTATAGGTGCGGAATGGATGTCGCAACCATCCACATGATATGATGAGCATGATGACCACAATTATCTGCGGCCATACCTGGAAACTCCCTCCAGCCAAAATTTCAGCCGCGGACTCAAAAAGGCGCCTTTTTGCGTCCGCCGGCGGAAATTGGGGATCTCCTAAAAATGGTGCGGCGTGTTTGCTTTTCCGGCGGCTTTGTTTTTCCATATGCGGCCTTAAAGAGCATTGCTGCCACGACCTTTGCTTTGACCCATGAGCATGCACCAATGTGACAAGTGTTGATTGTGCAAGCCACCGTTTGACTACTTGTATTCACTATATGCAGCCACAAAGCAGCCTTTTGCAACTTGTAGCCACCGCAGTACCTGCGCATGCCTACCGCCAATCTCTTCAATCTGTGCCCTCTTTGTCTCCACTGCTTCTGGCTTCAAAGGGCCTGGTTGCCCCAAAGTGCAGGAATCAGTTTGTGCCTGCATGCACGGTTTAATAGACGGTTGTTCTTTTTTGTTGGTGTTTCGGGCTACGGCGGAAACACGCGGGATTGCGGCGGAAACACGCGTCCAACCAGTGGACTTTCTCAGGGCCTTTGATTGTGTTGCTTGATCTCCTTACCTTCGCTCGTGCTGTTATTAGCATCACTGTGCAAAGCAAGTTTGGTCACAAATGCATTGCCGGCGGAAATCACGATGCACTTAGCTATGTAGTTGCGGGCACCGACAGCGCCAAAGCTCGCCTATTGTTGTGCACGTGTTTGCCATTTCCGGCCTACGCATTGTTCTCTGGATGGCTAGAGTCGCTGCTGCGTGCCTAGTTTCATAACTTTCAGCAGCTTTTGCATTGTGAAAGCAAGTGCTTGGTTCAGCTTATGATGTGCTGGACCAGGCTTTACGGCTGCTTTTTTGGGCTGCCAGCGTTTTTCAGAGCCGTCGGCGATTTTCTACTTGCGGCTTAAATTCTTGCTGAAAGCAAAACGGCTAAAAGTTTGGCCGGACGGAGGTTCCAGGTATGACCATTTATTTATTTGGCTAAAAGTTTTGGACATATGATGACGATCATGATGATGACCATTTATCTGGGAATCGACTCATCTCGAATCCTTCCAGGGCTGAAGGGTGTGAGCCACAGGCGGCGCTGGACACCTGCAACCCGCTGGGTTGGACGGCGCTCACCTGGGCGGCGCTGCGAGGCCACGCCCAGTGCTGCAGGTGGCTCATGGAGAGGAAGGCGCCCCTCAAGGACAACGACCTCATCGCGGCTCGGCGCTGGCCGCGGGTTTTTCGTTTTTTGGTTTAACCGTGGGTCGTGGCGCGTTTTGGTCGTGGCGCGGTTTTGAGGGTCCCAAATGTTGGGTGGATTCAAAAGTGAAGCCAACAACAAAACCACGACTTCGCGACAGGCGGGGAACCTCCTAAGACTTGTCATTTCCTGAGGGTCCTCCGCATTCGTCCGGACGACGTTGTAAGTGATTAGCACCCTGGGTTAGCTATAGTTTGGGTGTAATTAGCATGGCCTCTAAGTGTTTGCCCTCTAGCGAGGCTATGGTAGAAGGATGCTGAGCCCCAGGCTCCTCACAATCTCAGGCTTTTGCTTGGACCGGGGGGTCCTTTTATGTCTTTTGTGGGTGGCTAAAGCATTTGCATGTGGGCCGCATCTTCTTGCCCTTTACAAAAAAGAGTGGAAAGAACAATCCTGGGTTCCGGTTTGAACGTCCAGGTGGACCTGTGAAGGATTGCTTTGCGCTATTCGTGTGGCCGGCACGCCGCATGCAGCCGTGCAAAGGTTTCGTGCTGTGAGCTCGCCGAAATGGGGCGGAGAACGACCCGTCAAGGTCCCGGAAAATTTCTGCGAGTAGTGCGGATCACTGGGCCGCTGGCTTGGATCTTTAGACTTTAACTTTTGGTTGCAATCAAGTTGGGTTTTGCATTGAGCCCGCAAAAAAGTTTTTTCAACTTTGTGCAGAGGGGTCGTTGCAGCAATCAAGCTATTGGGTGTGGGGCCGTCGGGGCATCGCTTCAAGGTCTTGGCCTTCACTGGGAACTGGCAGACCTTCGAGGTGCTCTTGGGCTTCGCCTCGGAGGAGCGGCGGCTGGAGGTACGCGACCACTGCGAGACGCTCGGTTGTTTTTTTTGTTTTCGCATGCTGGGCGAAGCATGACGGCCGAGTTCACGACCGAATTTGCCCGAAATGGTGGTTGTTGTGGGGAATGGCGCCCCAACCACCTTGTTTCGAAATATTGTAGTTCACCCAAATGCATGGCTTGGGACTGGAACGCTTTGGGACTGGAGAGGGGGAACCAAGTTTCTAGGGGTACCTTCCCTATTCTTTCCAGGGATCCTTCTTTTCAGGAGACCATCACAAACCCAGGGGAAACAGATCCTTTTTTTTGGAACGATTGTTGAAAACAATAGGGAATCAACCCCTAGAGAGTTGGACTTTTCAAGAAGCACAAATCACTTTGCGGCTTGTTGGCCCCCCTTCTTCCGAAATGACGCATAAAAAGTGGTCGGAAAAAGGGGCCTTTGGGGGTCCAGGTTGCTCGAGTGCCTGTTGGTATGATTTGATTTGCCTATTTTATGGCGGCGGAAAGTAAAAGAAGGTGGCGAAGTAGGCCTTTTGCATGAGGATCCCAGACTTCAGGTGGAGTTGTGGAATCCGGTTCAAAGCCCTGCAGGGTTCCCAGGGGTTTTAGAGAGACATGGTCAAAACACCGCCATGCAGCTTGGAGCCTAGGAAGGGCTTGCTCCACTTCGCCCTCACAGGCTGGGGCGCTTTTTCACCGGGCGAGATGCCGGGGGGGGGGGGGTTTGGGTACTTGTCCAACGGTCTGCGCTACTGGAGATGGTTGCGAAATTCAAATTTCCGCACCATGAATTGAAACCATGATTGAAATCGTTGGCATTTACCGGGGGGGGGGGGCGAATCATTCCAGGTGTTTCCTATAGCTGGTGCAGGACGTCGTCCATCCACAGGTTCCGGCTAAAGGCCTGAAGCTCAGAGCATGGCGTGGCTTTCGTTTAGGGTTGATACCTTTCTGTTGCTTTCGAAAGGAAATCCAAAGCCTACGAGTCTACATGACCCGAATCAAAAATGGTTGGTCGTTACCCGAAATAATGGGGTGGACCATATTTTTTAAAGGGGCCATGGAGACTCCAGGTAGGCCTTCTTGGGAATTCATGGGCTTCCCCGCTTTGTGTTTCGAGCAGTCCCGGGCACCTTGGAGCTGTGGGGCATGGACGGTGATCCTCTTGGTTTCTGCCGAGCACAGCGCGTGAAGCCCATCGGTTTCACATCCCAAAACGGCTACACCACCATGTGTTCAACGAAGACCGCATGTGCCTACAGATGCCTACGGTATATTCTTATACTAGGCTTAGGTTCAGCTCTTTCAGATGCATGCGGAACATACATAGTTACCAACAATCCCTGGTCAGGATTCCGGAAGGAACATGTGGCCTTCAACGGTTTTCCAAGTCCACAGTCTCGGTAGAGTGCGACTCCGCCCCTACTTCTAAACCGCCGGGCTCCGAAGCACTGGGAAGCTCGTCAAGTTTCGCATGTCGTGGGGGGGATTCCCCAAGCCCTGATACGGTGCCGGGTAGGCTGGAAACGAGCTCTGCTGATGCCCCACATGGCGTCTTTGATAGCATCCTGTCAGCTGCAAGAGGTCACCGTTGATATGTTCCTTTGCCACCCAGCCGGGTCTACCCAGCCCCCGGCAAACGCCCGCGAGGCTTGGCCTACATGAAGCGCACGGCGCGCGACCACGTGCGCTGCGTCGACCTGGCGCTCCAGGAGCCTGGGTTCGGTTTGGGCGGTTTGGGCGGGGAGGGGGGAGGGAGGGGGGGGGAGGGGAGGAGGTGGAGGGGAGAGGGGAGAGGGGAGGGGAGAGGGGAGAGGGGAGGGGAGAGGGGAGAGGGGAGGGGAGGGAAAGGTTTGTGGTTTGCATTGTGTGGACAAGTGGATGTCTTTCCTTTTTTTTGGCTTTGTGGCAATTTGGGTAACGGATCTTTTTGGACTGAATACCTTTTGAGTTGGAACAGGTCGGATATTCCGAATTGGACCCATACACAGTATTTTTTGCAGAGGGATCGTTGTGGCTCGAAATTGTGCCAATGTTAAGTGACTGATTCCAGTTGGGCGGCGTGATGTTTAGAGGAGACAGGAGACCTGGGTGAAAACCGAGACAAGCCAATCACCAACACTCAGAGACCTGTTCGTCGAAATTCTTCCAAGGACTAGGAAAGTCCTCTAGTAACATGGTTGCCCATTTCCAGACTTGGTTCGATTCAACGCCCTACTCCCAATACCCACTTTTCCTAGGGGTATTTTTTTGGAAAACCGATCGGTTTTTCAAGGTAAGTACTTCCTTTTTTAGTAGAGGGTCGACATGATACTATGATACCCTAAAAGAAGTGGGTATTTGGAGTCGGAAAAAAAAAAGGACAAAGGCCCCCCAGAAGCTGGCAAAACTGGGGGACATCCCTGGACTCCTGTCCTTTGCTTGGCGGACGGGGTCCATGTTGCCGTGATTCCAACCATGGTGTTGGCCATGGTTGGACTTGGGTCATGTTTGAGTTTTGAAGGCGTGAGGCCTTGAACCACGGGGAACCTTCCCAAACACCAGAGGCTGAAGAATTCGATGGTGGGGTGCTGGAGAGGCAAATTTGGCCGTCTTCACGTACAATTTGGAAGCGCCGTGTGGCAGGGCGCCATGCCATGTCCCAGGCCAAGTGCGAGCCCTTCCGAGAAGACTGCCGCGCACTCCGCGCCAGAGAAGGCGGCAAAGGGGCCATGCCTCAGCGGGCACTGGGGCACCATCCCTCAGGGTTTGGCCCGGTCAGGGAGGTTTGGTCGCAAGCATAGGTGTCCTTTTTGGTTGATTTGGTCGGAAAAATCGAGGGCGGTTCCTGGTTTACCTGGTGGTTCAATCAACTACCAGGGCATACCAGGGCCATCTACTTTCCTAAAAAGGACACCTCTGCCGTCAGTCAACATGCTTGGGCCCGGAAACCGCGGAGCGAGCGCGTTGCTTTGAACGGTTCGCGACCATTGGCGCAATTTCTGGGCGCTGAAGATGTTGGGGTACATACCGCCGGGAACGCTGACCGCATGCAGCGACTGCCAAGTGACTTGGCAGGCAGCCTTTGTTTGCTTTGTTGCCCAGAGCTTCTTAAAAGATACATTTTGCAACCACTTGAAACATGTTGCTTTTTCAACACCAAAATAAGTTAAACAACACCATTTACAAGGCAATGTTCAGGTGTACAATGTAAGGATCCCTGTTGCCTGCAGTTCCTTTCGAGAAAGAATGGAGCCAATCTTTGAAAGCTGCTCCCACTTCTTGATTGCTCAGTGTTTCATTGTGCACAAGTTTCACATTCCATGCAGTGGCGGAGCAGGCGGCAACATGGAAGCCGCGCCCGTCCTCAGCCACTTTGTGCGATGCATGGGTGTGGCCAGGCAAATAATATGGGAATGAAGGGTTGAGATCCCCCCCTCCCTTCAAGATGGATTTGTTTGAGAGGGGTGACAAATGAGCGGTGAACAAAGCCCCCTGTTTGCAACGTTGGCTGGCGTTTCTACTACTCTTTTGTCGCGGGGTTGGGGGGTTGGGGGGCTGTTATGGCAAAGCCAATGTAAACCTTCAGCATGTTGGTAGAACCAAGTCATTTGTTCGAAGTTCCATTTTCTGATTCTTTGTACGTAAGCCAACCAGTACCTGAACAGCGGGTCATGGTTTGCTTGAAAAACCGTGATCGGCTGACATGGGTTCAATCCTTCCGTTTGCTGAAGAATACTTTCTATTTTCCTTGTTGGTTTCACAAGGACTCCATCACTACTGGAAAGTTTTTTTCCAGGGGGCGCAGACGCAAATGGACGAATCTGGCGAAACGAGTGCGACAAGGATTGCCAGCCGAGCAGAGTGTTTGCGCTTTCACCCCATGCAATTCACCAAGAGTCGATTCCTGGATAGCGAGGGGTTTTTGGTGGGCGTCATATCGCCAGCCAGTGTCTCAGGCGCCAGTGTCCTAGGCGCGGCGAACATTTTGCTGCTTTGCTTTTAGTAGAGTGGTCAGTTGAACCTGGCGTTTGAGGCCAACCTAGCCCCTCTTCAAAGGCAAGCTGCAAGTTGTACGGGTTCCGGGGCTTCCGTAGAGGTTTCCCAATGGCTTCCTCTCTAAGGGTTTTGTATTACACCCTGGGAATACACCCACTGGGTATTGACCCCATTTAGGCACATTTCCGGATAAACCCCTGTTATTTTGAACCATTCTGGGTCAATTTCCCAGGGTGTAATCCCAGGGTGAAATACAAAAAAAACTGCACCACTTTGAAACCATGGGCATCCATTGAATGTTGGTATTTACGTAGGGGGATCAAATCATTCCCTTGGGTTTCTGGGGTTCGTCTGGTGCGTAATACCAAAACCCTCAGATCCTCCCGGTCGGCTGCATCCTGGGAGTGGCTCGCGGAAAGCTCGCAAGGAGAGCTGGGCCGCGTCGGGCCTGGACAAATCCGGGGAGCACCTTGCCATGGTGCAAAGGCCACCGCCTTGCGAATTCCGTCCCGAGCCGAATGGCCGAAGCGCGCCTTCCGAATGCCGAAGTTCCGAAGGCAACCCCTGCCCAGCCGAAGGGTTCCGCCTGGCTGTTGGCGGCCTTTGCCTTTTTTTGTTTTTTCTCTCTCTGCGGCTGCACCAGGCCGTGTGTGGTGCACAGTGTATTGGGGTTTGCCTGCCCCGACATCCAAAACAAAAAAAAACAAAAAAAACGAAGCAAGCGCCCAACAAAACTTGCTTCATGTGAAGCTGGCCCGGGGCTTTGGTTGAAGGCCAGTGAGAAACCGGGGGAGCCATGCGTGGGGGGGGAAGAGTTGTTTGGCAAGCGCTGTTTTTCCAGACTCGTGTTTTCTTGTTTTCTACCCCCCCCCCCCGGGGCACAGGCTTCGTCTTTGTGCTCCGGTAGCAGCTGCTGATTTGATATGTTGTGTGTTGGTCGTCAGGGCGTTTCATCAACCCGCGGTTGCTGAATCCCAAAAGGAAGCCAGCCGCAAGAGGTTTCCAGCATGGCCATGGGTTGCATGGATGTGTACAAGTTTCCTGAACCGAGCGTGGCTTCTGCCCTTGCAGAAGTTCCCAATGGCAAGTATTGTGAACGGGTATTAGGCGAGAAAGTAGCAACATGTGGTCAAAAAGGAGAACTACTCTGGTTGCGGAAGTTCAAGCAAGCAGCCGTTGTGGGTTCCGTAAGGTATGCGACACATGTCAAACACCTGTTAACATGGGTTCCCATGGTGACCCTAAATGGGCTCCAACTAAGAAGTGGGTTGCTTTCGGCAGTTAGAGTGCAAGCTGAATCCCGCTAGGCTCCAAAGGTTCAACTGGGTCCCCTGACAGGCGCTCCAAGGGTTCTTCTCAAACAGCTGGGTGCCATGTGCCCCCAGATTCCTTGGCCAGTGAATGGCTTTGAAATGCAAAAATGGCTCCCAGCCATCCGGTTCCTTAGCCCAAGATCGTTTCCTCGGCCGGTCGAAGGCCCAAAAGTCCCCAGATCAGCGCCCCTCGCGCCATGCGGATCGCAAGCCGCGCGGAGGCTCTGCCTGCTGCGCGCGGACGTGGGGGCCTCAGGGCCCCACGGCAGTGCCCTTCAGCTGGCGGCGGAGCAGAACTTCCCGACAGTTCGCCAGGCGGAAGCGGGGGGTGTTGGGGTCCAGCTGGCTGTGGTTGTCAAAACCGTTTTGGATCCCATTTTGGTTGGTAGGTGAATTCACCACCCATTATAGAACCTATTTTAGTGGGGATTGGGATGTTCACTGGAGTTACGGGATTTTGACCCATGGCCAGCTCTGTTTCCCCATGTGGTTTTTAACAACATCACCTAGCTTGGCCCCTTTTTAGGGTGAGTCTTTTTTTGCTAGAGGTGATTTCTGTTGTTTTTCTTGGAGAATTGTGTTTTGGGTGCACCCTGAGGTGCATGGGGACCCCTTCGTTGTGGTTTCGGCCGGCCTCGGGAGCTTGATTTGGGGCACCTACTTGAAGTTCCCAGCCATCCGGTTCCCGAAGCTTTTACACATCTTTTTTGAGTCTTTCGTGCTTGGATTTCCGTACTTCACCCAGTAAAGTTCTTAACTTTGTGCGGGGGATTGGAACACCTCGGTCCCCGAGCTAGCTGCCCTTTGACCGTTTCTTTTTTAAGGGAGGGCTCCCCTACTAAAATAGACTACAGAAAGAAGGGTACCCTTATTCTAACCTCCCTACTGGAGGACCTAGACACGGACAGCCCGGCCTATTTTGGCATCACAAGAACGACAACCATGCCATGAACTGAGGGGCTGGGCACTAGGCAAAGCATGGCAACGTGAAGCCATTTTCTGGGGTACTCGCTCCCCGTGGCCTTCCATCCAATGTCAAGCTGACGAAACCCCGCAAACTGCAGGGAACCTTAAAACCTCTATATACATTGGGCTACCCAAGTTAGTGAAACCTAAGCAGAGAACCCACAGAAACAGGACGGGTAAATGGGATATAGAGTTAGACCACGAGGCGAAGCAGCCGATATCGCCTCCGAAAGTGAACACTTCGGCAATTTGCAGCTATCCCCTCGCGTTTTTTTTTGAACATCAAAAGAAGCCTGTGCGGCCAATCCGACTTCGCTTGCCAGGCGCTTGTGGGGATGACCATTGCACATGTGGCCATGTTCCTTTTCTTAGGTAAGTTGGTGGACATAAGTCCCCACCGAAATGATGTCCTCCAAAACTAAGCTGGTTCGTTACACCGTTTTACCGTTTTACTGTTTTTCCTCCGGAATCTTTGGGGAGGACCCACTAACACCGACCCCACCGCCTAACCAGCACAGTTGGGGTCCCCTAATTGACTTCACACCCATTTGAGCGGTGTTTTTTGTTTTTGTTTTTCCCGGAAGGCTTGCGGAAGCTTCGTGGTTTGATATGAACTGTGTTACTAGAAGCAGAAAGGTGTTGTTGCATACAAGAAGCGTACTGCTTACGAGCCCAAGCTGACACTGACACACGCTGCACCAGCACAGGCGGAACATCACGTTACCCTCCCTTAGGCTAACGTGGAAGCTCCCAGAGCTCTTCGCAAGACCTGGTTCCATTTACAGCTTCCATGTTAGTCTGACGGAGGGTACTTGCTTAAACTGACTTTCCTTTCTACGCCAATACTCGTGGAAACACGTTTGGTAAAGCATGCGCCGCGAAAGGTTTGCGGAGGCAAACAATGAACAACATGTGCCGCGGAAGTTTGAACAACGTCCAAATTTAGGGGAAGTAAAACAAACGCTTATTTGTGAGGATCTTTCTCCACAAATGGTTTGATTTGTGGGTTCCATGTTAGTTTGGCAACCCCAATTGCGAACAAGTTGTGGTTTCCACCCGGACCTGGGACCTGCCGCCCAGAGTTTCTTGGCCGCGTGCAGAACCAGTTGGCTTTGAGCCCAATTTTAATGTTGGATTTGAACTTGAATTTGAGCACCTTTCAGCCTTTTACCAGAAGGTCAAACCTCAGATTCAACCGGGCTGCGGGGGAGCTGGCAGGAGAAGGTCGTAGGTTGCCGCTCTGCGTGTTTGAGGACGCTTCCGGAAGTTAGATGATGGAATGATACCGTTTTCTCGGGCTCTTGCTTTTGTGCGGGAGCATGGTTCTGCCGAACGAGCCGTACAAACTATCGGGGTGGTCCCCGAGGCCCACGTCAGAGTTTAGATGGAAACCAGAGGGTCCGAGTACTTCATGAGGATGGCTTTTGGGGGGTAAAAAGGGGTCTCCTCAGAAGGTACTTGGACCCTTTGGGGAAACCACCAGGTCTCATTCCCTGCCTGTCGCACCAAGCCAGTTGGCAAGAGGAGCTCTGGAAGTTGGGCATGGAACGCAAACGTGGCCCAACCTGCTGTTCTCCAAGGTGGCTTCACCAAACGGAACAACTCTGAAAGAACAACACGGAAATCCGTTTGTTGGCTAATGCTAACAAATACCACTGATGTCTAAGGCACGTTCTCGGGATCCAAGACTAAACTACCTTAAGGGAATTCCCAAAACCGGTTCCATCCCCAACACTCGGAAGGTCATTCCCTAGCGCACCAGCAAGAGGGCCCGCGGGCAACTCGCCAGGCGCTTTTGGGGGCCAGGCCGGGCCCGGGCCAGAGTGGGGAGGGAGGGAGGGGAGGGGAGGGGGGAGGAGGGGTTGGCTGACCGGTCTTTTTAACCATAGGTGTCCTTTTTCGTAGATTTGGTTGAACCATAGAGGGCGATTGGTTGAAACCTGGTGGTTCAATCCACTACCAGGGAAATCCATCTAAATTCCCAAAAAGGACACCTGTCTGTGTTGACCCTTTTGCGTATTTGGGGACGAACAGGTTGTTGAACCCAAAAAAAAGGTCTGCTGACGACCTGTACCAAACTGGTTTGGAATGGACAGGGTTGCTGGGCCTTGGAAGGACGAAAGTCAGGGGGAACCACCTTGCCTCCATTTGGTTCGTTATTAACCAGGCTGCCGCCGACCCTCGGCGCATTAAGGGAAAAGTCACAAGGACCGGTCCTGAAACACGTCCGCAAACCGGGGACCACTTAGAAGATCCTCTACGACCACAAACAAGGATTAACGGAAAAGTCAGAAATAGGGCAGCTAGTCCGTTAATTACCGCTTGGGCCGGCTTGCACCCAAGTCACTTCGAGTTGGCGCCTCTCCCGGGGTCGCCCTGAAACTGGCCCTCCCGAAGTTGCCCTGGACCGGTCGCCGGCAGGGACCGGGACTTGGGACCCTATCCAGGCTGGTCCCAGTCTGGCGCGGTTTGACTCGACGTCTTGGACTCTCTTGCAGAATGGATCCAGGCATCCTCTACTACCACAAGGATTAACGGAAAAGTCAGACAGAGGACAGCTCCGTCAATAACCGCACGGGCCGGTTTGTGCCGAAGTCACGTTGAGCTGGTCCTAGAAACAAGGCTGTTGGTCCCCCTCAACTGGTCGCAATCAGTGACGACCTGGGACCCTGTCCAGCGTCCTGGTTGCCAGTCCGGAAAGGTCGCACCACAACAATTTGAAGTACCAGCGGTCACACCAGGACTCGATGCCGGGACCGGCTTCCCAGACTGGTCCCAGGACCGGTCCCAGGACCGGTCCTGGGACCAGTCCGGGACCAGTCCCGGGACCGGTCCCAGGACCAGTCCCAGGACCAGTCCCAGGACCAAACCCCGGTCCCTGGGACCAGTCCCAGGACCGGTCCCAGGACTGGTCCCGGGACTGGTGCCGGGACCCGTCCTGGGACCTTTTCGGGACCGGTCCCAGCACCGGTTTTGGCTGACTGCAAGTAATCTAGGACCAGTCCCCGGACCGGTCCCAGGACTGGTCCCAGGACTGGTCCCAGGACCGGTCCCGGGACCGGGTCCCGGGACCGGTCCTGGGAATCCACTTTTTGTGGGTTCGGGCGTGCCCCCCAGGGACTATCATTGATTCCAATCACTTCCAGTTGCATCCCACGCCGGTCCCCTCTGCAGGAGGCTGGGACGGGAGGCAGAGGGTCGGCGGATTTTCCCTTGTTGGTCTTAAAAGGAATTCATCACTACTGGAAATATTTTTCCTGAGGCCTTAACCAAATGGAAGCTTGGAATGACGAAAATCAGGGGGGGAACCAATGGTTTGATTCCCTCGAGTTTCCTTTTGCCTTGCAGAGCCTCATCTCCAGCAAGTGGCTCGCACACGCATCTCGGATTGGCTTAGCCACCCTTTTAGACCAAGTAACACCTCCCAACATGAGGTTTCCGTGGCGGCCCCTTGTTCCCCATGGCGCTCCCTTTGGTCCTTTGCGGCATCTCCACGTTCTTGTCCGGTCGACCTAGGCGCGAGTCAGCTTGGACCTTGAGACGCCTGTGGCTCGGCGAAACTGCGAAACCCCCCAGGAAGGCTCCACATGACCTGGAGTCTCCATGACCCGAAATAAAAGTAGGTCCATGGCCCCATTAAACATGGGGTCATGACCCCATGTTTAAACATTCATGAAAACTCCAGGTACTTTGTTGGGTCTTGTAAAGTGGGCGGGGTGGTGCGGAAAAAGCGACTCGAACCCTGCGCCTGGAGTGTGTTTTGCATTTGTTTTTGCCAAAGGCCATCCCTGCGAAAGCTTCCAAAGGCGGTGTTTCTCACTCCAAGAAGCAAGTCGGCTCCGTCGCCAGCAGCTTGGCGTGCCAAAAAGCACACAGAGCAGGCCTTCAGCTCGGATCGCCCCCGTGTCAAATGTTTGGTGTATGCGTTCCTTCCATTTGCCTAAGACTATGTTTTCCCCTTGTTGGTTTTAAAAGGAATATGTCACTACTGGGCATATGTTTTTCCCAGGGGTCTTAACCAAATGGAGTTTCAATACAGGCCACGCAACTTTCAGGGAAGCATCGAGAAAGCACGAGAAAGCAAGCGGCACACTCTGGAATCAAGCCCTACCGTGGATGGTTGCGAAATCCGCTTGGCACCACCCAAGAAACCCTAGAATGATTCGATTCCCCAACGTAGATACCAACGTATGGTATCAACCATGATTTCCTAGGTGGTGCGGTGTCGGATTTCGCAACCATTCACAGACCAAGGTATTGCCTGCTTTCCCTTGGAGGTAAAGGTGGGGGGAACGCTCGTACCCAACACTTAACCTGGAACTTGACGTTCGGGGATCCCTTTTAGAGGAGAATTGTCCAAACAGGATGTCGTAACCATCCACATGGTGCTTAGGTGCTGGTGTTGCAGCTGAAGACGCCCGACACCTCGGCGAAAAATGGAGCGACCGCCAAAATGACACCTCGCTGGCCGTACGGCGGGATGTGCTTGCTTGATTTTCACAGGGTTCGTGGTGGCTTTAAAGGAAATCTATCATTATTGGACACAGTTTCATTTTTTCCGAGCAAATGGAGGAAGCGCACATGTTCCCTCAAGCCAAGTATTCATGCAATTCCCTCTGTGGGTAAAATTTTGCCAGAACTTAGCTGACCCCCTTCTCCCTGGGTTTGGCGGGTTTGATTTGTACTTAAAGGGGCACTGTACGTTGTTTAGCAACCACGGTAAACAAAAATCACTGAAGCAGTGATTGTAAGCCCCCGTTCAGTGGGTTATAACCATGGTTACTAACCACTTACCATGATTATCAGTCTCCTAAGTGGGTTATAGCTATGGTTGCCAACCACTCAGTACCCGATCAACCAGAAATCACACAGCGCCGTGCCATGCGTTCGACTCACTGCCCGATCCTTGGCCTTTTCCGGCCCAGACCAGAGCCTCGAGGGGCCAGTGGTCCAGCTCAGGGTGAGGCAGCTTATCCCTGGAGACGGGTTGCTGTGCCTCCAAAAAGAGAAGGTGCTGTCCAGCCCCTTGCTTGTAGCAAGCGTACCTGGGTCTTTAATTTGAGTCATGCCAAGAAATTGGATGCTGTTCAAGCAAACTCACCCCATGTAAATGTGTCTCAAAATCGGAGAACCCACAGCATCCAGGGGTAGCCTCACAACCCAAGGGGTAGCCTGATGTTTCACCATATCGCTTCTTCAGCAATACTAGCAACGTGAGCGACTGGCAAGTCATGGCTCATGCCTCAAAACTGTCGCAAATCGTCAGCATTCGTCAGCCGTAACAGGCTATGGATCTAACTATCTTCGTTCTGTTCTTGTCATTGTGGTTGCGATTGCTGCTGCTGCTGCTGCCGCCCGTGTTGCTGCCGTTGCTGTTGCTGCTGGTTGTTGCTGTTGCTTCTGTTTGTGCTGGGGCGGCTGCTGCTGCCGCCGCTTCCGCTGCTGCTGTTCTTCCCGGCGCTGCCGATTTTCCCCCGTTTTGGGTTGCGGCTGCTGTCACTATCGCCCCACACCGCGCATCTCGGCCGCAGCTTTCTCGTCGGCCTTCGGCCCACCTGACAGGAACCATGGCTGGCGGCTACTGCTGCATCGACTTTGACAGCCTCGTGACGAAGGCGCCGGTCGGCATCGATCGGCGAACGCGAAAACGAATTGCCCGCGGTCAGGCAAATCAAAGGGGTCCAAGATTTGGGGGTTGAGGCCCCAAAATGAGCATGGGAAACTTTTTTATTCAGTGGTGAAAGTCATCTTTTTTGGTGGTTTCCCTAATGGTCACCCCCTTTCAAGGAGCTTGCAATCAACCCCCATTGGAGGACACCCTGAGATTTTCAAGTTTCAAGGAGTTTCCCTGCATCGTTGGGAAGATGATCCCCATGGAAAACAGGTGCAAGCTCACCTGCAAAAGGTGCAGCTTGCTCTTGAAAGGCCCCCTCTCCAGGTTCTCATCACAGGTCATCTGGCTCCAAATCCTTTGGTGCATTGGCGCAAGGAGGACGTAAAAACACGACACTCTCCGAGCTTTAAACAGAGGTGGCTCGGCTGATCTGCGCAGCGGCAGTGCGAATTTTTGCTGAATCGAACATGCACCCCTGCAGCCCCCATCCTGCTCCGCCGACAACAGCTCTTCCTTTGTTTGCTTCTTTGCTCCTCTACTCGGCACTTGTCGCTCCTCTCTTGCTGCTGGGGGTCCTTGTCTGTCACACTTGGGGGGTTTAACATGATCCAAACATCACTCTATGCTTGGCGCCTCCTTGAAGCGGGGTCACATATACATGACACCTTTTTTTTCACTTCTTCACTCTTCAACTCAATCCATGCTCTCCTTGCTTCTCTTCGATGGTCTGCCCGCCCCCTTTGCTTCGCTCTATTGCTTCGTTTGCTCAGGGGACGGGTGGAAGACGTTGGTCGCAATTTCCACTTGGCTGTGGGTCAAACATGCGTACCCAAAATGGGTTGCCCTGATAAATGGAACGAAAGACTAAAACCTGCAGTCCAATTCCTGGTGGGTTTATTTTGACCCATACCCAGAGGCTTAATTTTTTTCTTGACTTCCATGTGCTTAAGCCCCCTGGAAAAAAATGGCCATATTTCCAGAAGTGAAATCGATCCCCTCTAAAAGCCAACAGCGTGTGTGTTTGTGTGCGTTTTTTGTTTGAAGGTACTGCTTTGAGACAAACCCTTGCCATGCTGCCAGGAGAAGGACAAGGGCATCCGATACAAGAGCCGCTCGGCTTCTCGCGGAACCCGTGTGCCGCTGGGTTGCGCAGATGTTACGAAATCCATTTCGCACCACTTGGACATCATTCTAGGGTTTCTTGGGTGGTGACCATTGTTGGTTGGTGTTTACAGGGGAATCGAATCATTCTAGGGTTTCTTGGGTGGTGCGAAATGCCATCCACAGTACCTCTGGGGTAGAAGGGGACCGTGCCAGACTGCTGGCTCACTGCGTGGCTGAAGAGCTCGTTAATGAATATAAGGTGGTGTTTTGTTGAGGTGGTTTCACAGTGAACCCAAGAGAAAAACCACATGCAAAACGCATTTGTGGGAGGCGCCCGTATTTTGATGCATGTCCATATGCTGTTTTGCCGCAATGCCTTTTTGGCCATTCTCCTCTTGAGCCCCTTTCAAACAAGTAATGCCGCTACATCAGGTGAAATTTGATGGCACCATTTTCCTATTTGTCAATTAAGTACGGAGGATGACCAAGCCAAAAGTGCCTGGGGGGGAGCATCTTCCTTAACAGAAAAGCCCTTCTTTGACGGAAAGCATCCTGGAAACCAGCACCCAACTGTAACCTGCAACCTGCATCAGCCATTTACAAATGGTGTCCCAAACAAACAAAATACCTATGAATAGACCCTCTTGAATGGGAACGTTGCATTCTGGCAAACCGTTTGCAAACAACAATTCCTTTGAATAGACCGGGGGAAAAAGAAAGAAAGAAAAAACACAAGAAAACAAAAATTGCTTGGGGAAAAATGTGTAAATGGCTGTTCCGGGTTCCAGGAAGAGGCCAACGATCATAGGTGTCCTTGGTGGTTTCGCTCGAAAAAAAAAAAAGGAAGAAGGGCGATTCCTGGTTGAAACCTGGGGGTTCAATCCACCAGGGAAATCCATCGATTCCCCCAAAAAGGACGGTAAACCCTGTTGAGTAAACCCTGGTGAGAAATACATTATAGATGAGTAAACAACATTAAACAACAATAGATTCATTCAAACTCATAGAAATCCTAAAAGGACAGTAAACAACATGAAGCAACAATTCCTATGCATAAACCCTGTTGATGGGAGAAAAAAGGGCAGGTTTTTTTTTGGGGGGGGAAGAACATGTGAGCAAAAGGCTAAACTCTCTCGTCATAAAATATGTCTTTGGCGATTTCGCGTTGCTTGTTTTGTATTTTTGCCTCAGGAACGATACAGCGAAGCCCCAAAACCGATAACGTCGCGTGACGTGCAGCTGGCGCTTCGCGCTTCTATTTTGCACTGTGTGAGCCTTTTTTTGCCCCAAGCTGTAAGTTGCCATGACAGCTCCTGTCAATGCTCCTCGGCAATGCATGGTGGGCACATGTGTGCACGAGATGGGCCCACCCAGATGGATTGCTAACGCACCCGCGCACACGCACACGCACAGGCGCCCGCAGGCACCGGCGCACGCTGCGACCTTCGAGCTGGAGCTGCCAAAGTGTAACTTGCGTACTGCGCTGGTACTGAAAGTTGCGACTTGCGACCTGGAAGTTGCAGCCAGCAAGCAAAGCCGCCAATGCTTGGGAGCCAGAGAAGCATAGTGTAGTCCGCTGATCCCATGACTACCGCAAGGTAGAGAAGGCTCTTGTGCGCTTGCTTGGCTCTAGCTTATAGCAAGTTTGTTTTTTTCGTGACACTGCACGCGCCCAGAACGATCCCAAAACGACACCTCATCGATACTCCGAGAACGTCCCGGAGCAGCCAATGTGAGGCCTATCTAGTGCGTTTGCTTTTTCAACCACACGCGCAGCTCCTTCAGCGCACATCCTTCCGCGCACACAAAGGGCCCGCAACGGGCCAGGCCGCGGACGCCTTGGCGGGCTTGCGCTTGCTCCTCAGAGATCTGCTGCTGCAGGAGGATGGGAAGGCCTGACTTGCCCGAGCAGATCTGTGATCCGGAAGGCTTTGGAGAAGAGCCCGAGCTCCAAGAGTGCTGCCGCAGAAATCGCTGCACGCCTTGTTTTTGTGGTTGCCGGAAGGGCCAAACCATACCCACAAGCCACTGGAAACTCAAGATGCGCCTATTGGGTGCTTTTGACCAAAGCTACACTCCCCGGCTTGTTACTCAAAACTGCGTTCCCCGGCTTGCTATTTGGAGGTTGCTGGAAGGGCCAAACCACACCCAAAAGTAATTTTGGAGCGTCGAAAAAACACCTTTTCGGGGAGTGTGAACTGCATTCTTGGCCACCGATTGCTCTCCTTCCTACTGCTCATGCTTCTTGCTTGCACCCGCAGGCGCCACAGTCGGCATGCCAAACCATACCCGAAAGTAATTTTGGAGCGTCGAAAAAACACCTTTTTGGGGAGTGTGAACTGCATTCTTGGCCACCGATTGCTCTCCTTCCTACTGCTCATGCTTCTTGCTTGCACCCGCAGGCGCCACAGTCGGCACGCCAAACCATACCCAAAAGTAATTTTAGAGCGTCGCAAACACCTTTTCGGATCATTCGGGGGGTGTGAACTGCATTCTGGGCCACCGATTGCTCTCCTTCCTACTGCTCATGCTTCTTGCTTGCACCCGCAGGCGCCACAGTCGGCGTGCCAAACCATACCCAAAAGTAATTTTAGAGCGTCGAAACACCTTTTCGGATCATTCGGGGGGTGTGAACTGCATTCTGGGCCACCGATTGCTCTCCTTCCTACTGCTCATGCTTCTTGCTTGCACCCGCAGGCGCCACAGTCGGCATGCCAAACCATACCCAA